TATATATATATATATATATATATATGTAAAATTTATAAATGAAAGCAGGAAAAAGAACAACATAATAATGATAGTTTACCAGGAACAGAAATTGGTCTGTCCGTTACATGTCATTTCTACATAAGTAATTACTAAGGTGCCTAATTTGTAGGGCAGTGGTTTTTCAATGGCAATGTTCAATCAGGTGCAAGCTGTGTTAACATTATAATAGTAATGCTAATTGAAACCAATTTAGGTTGGTTTAGTAAACCCACTATCTTTCACTCCTCCTTCCCCTCACATACACCAGGTTTTAGATTATGAAGCTTATTTGGCCCCTTCCCATCTATTTTCTTTGAACAAGACATGTGAATGCAGCTGATTTCCTGTTGATTTTTATAGTTAGTATTCTTTTTAAAAAATGAATTTATAACTTCTAATGGCCTAGAAATTTTAGTTGACTTTTTAAAATAGTTTTATTGCCATGTCTTACATTATCCAGTATCTCCATTCACATACAATTCTGTTGTTCAGTCCCATTGAGTGGAGTTATATACTCACCAATGCTTTCAACTCCCCATTCCCTCTTAACTCCCCCCCATTCCCTTTCTTCCCCTACTATCTTAATCCAAATATTATCACTATTTTTGGTGAGGGGAGAAAAGAGGTGAAATTTCAGCTTGGTGTCCTCTCATTTTTTTTCATGTGAGCTTTCTGTGCTACATTACTGCTAGGGGAGAGCAATTGGGAAGAACTTCTTTATTGGTGCCCTGGTGGCACAGTGGTTATACATTGAGCAGCTAACTACAAGGTCAGCAGTTTGAAGTCAACTCCAAGTGAGAAAGATGGTGCTTTGTATTTCCCTAAAGAGTTACAGTTTCGGAAACTGAAACGGGCAGTTTGACCCTGTTGGATAGGGTTGCTGTGAGTCCGCATTGACTCAGTGGCAGTGAGATTTGAGTTCTTTTTAGGCACTCCCCCACTACTGATGAGGTTCTATTCCTAACACTCCATTGTAAGTTGGTTCTGACACGAGTTGAAAACAGGCAACTTCTCGGTTACACATGTCCAATTTAATGCACAGCTTCAGTTCTCAAGGCCGACAAAATCAAACATGGTAAGATCACGATTTTTTTACCATTTAGGTGATTTGTCATAGTAACCAAAAGGGGGAGAAAAATTACAATAAGCATTGTGAGCCCTTCCCAGGAGTCTGATGTGTGGGCTTGGATTATTGGTGATGGTTGTTGGGTGCCGTGGCGTCAGTTTCAGCTCATAGTGATGGACAGTGCATTCAACAGAACAGAACTGCCAGGTCATTGCCATCCTCACGTTTGTCGTTATGCTTGAAAAGGCTTGGAGCCTTTCCCCCCAGGAAAGTAAAACCAGGGAGGACCTGTGTACACCTTTGCCACCTGACCTGCAGTTTTTTTCAGTGAGTCTTGTTCATAGTCTGATGACTGTCTCTCTCACTGTTACCTTTTATTGTCAATTTTTATGAATAAAATCGTTATTGTCTTTATGGGTTACATAGAACCTTACATAGAAATTTAAAGGTATATTTTAATACACAAAAAGTACACACATCATAAAACTTTCCTCAGGCAATGAAGAAGGATTGGATGACCTTAGCATTTTGTGCATTGCAATAATAACGTCAATGGTTCATCTGGATTATGCCTGGGGATTGGGCAGGGGTTTCTAGTGAAATAGAGTTGTCTGTTTTGTCTTTTTCTTTATCTATTTTATGATAACATCTGCTGTTGACTTCAGCAAAGCAAACAGTGTCTGGATTCATGTTTGCAAGTAACTGAAGCCTTGATTTAATTTAGGAGGAATTCATTCTTTTACTGTAAAAATTGTTAATTCTTAATTTTGTCTTGTTTTTGAGTATACAAACACACACAAAGGGACCTCAAAAAGTTCATGCTAAAATGGATGTTTCCCAACAACTTTTTGAAGCTACTTAGTAAATTATTTCCTGATAAGGATAAATGAGATTCCCGGGATTGGCTTAGAACAGTTGTGGTTCATCCCCTGGACCTGGAAGAGGAGACCTCTCCATGTGATCCCCTGGGTTTCTCATATAATAAGCAGTGCATTGCACAGGCACCACCTTTCCCACCTCTGTAAAGGCAATCACTCGTATGTGCCAAGCTACAGTAATAAACTACTTTTGTGAGGTTTTTGTATTAGTCTAGGTACTTTAGAGAAACAAATCCACAACAACTCATGTATAAGAGAGTTTTATGCAAAGAAAGTGTGCATCACGAAAACGTCCGAACCCAATGCTGCCCAAGCCCACAAGTCCAACATTATTAACCCATTAACCCAACACCAGTCCACAAAGTCCTCCACCTCAGAAAACAGAGGCAATGATGCCGACTGCAGGAGGAAAGCTGAGTCAGTGAACGAATAAGCATCTCAGCACTAGCAGGGGTCTCCACACGGCTGCTCCAGCACCCAGGGCTGCATCGGGATAGGTCCATGTGGCTTCTCCTTGGGGATGTCTTGTAGGAAGTCAATCTTGCAAGCTGAAGCAGGGAACTGTTAAGGCAGCTGCACCCTGGTGCGACCATCACAAAGCAAGAGACCTGAGAACTAGAAAGGCGAGGCTCACCACCCATTTATCCCTCTGCCTTTCAATTAGCCCCACATGTGTTTATCGGCCAGGTTGGCACAATTAACTAACTCAGTTTTTCATGCATTGCTTAGTTATTCCTTATAGAAAATGAAACGTTTTAGTATTTTAAATTGTAAAAGGTATCTTTTGAAGAGCAAGTTTTCTTCCTAGAGTTTCCCATGTGTGCCCCCTGGGGACACTGGAACAATTCGGGGTGGAAGTGGGGTTGTAAAAGCAATACCTACACTTTATCCTAGATAATGGGCCGCATAGTACAAAAGTTTTAAGTGCCAGGGAGGCACTAGTAATTATATATATTTTTTGAAATGGAGGCAGTAGGCCAAATAAGTTTGGGAACCTATGATCTAAGTGCTCCTTAATGGTTGATATGAAAACCCAGTGTTTTGTTTTTTAAATTTACAGTTACGCACTGTACTTATTTTTATCTTACTTGAAGTCATTGTTTATGCTCCTTTAAGATCTCTCTAGCCTCCTCACTGGTATTACACGATTTGAGCAGTAATTTCTGAATCTCTAATTTTCTTAGGCGGATTCTCCACGGTTTTCCTAGTGCGGACTCATGGTGGCATACGCTGTGCATTGAAGCGAATGTATGTCAATAGCATGCCAGACCTCAACATTTGTAAGAGAGAAATTACAATTATGGTAAGCAAAAGAGTAATTCCATTTTAGAAGTTTGGTATACTTTGGTTTGCACTGTAATACAAGCAGATTTTAGGCAAGCTGTTTATTGTTTATGTACATCTGGAAAAACTTGGAAGATCATGAAATTAATTTTTTTAATTATCTGGGAAATTTATATTTTATGCCTTATTACCATAGGTAGCTTTTTCCTCTCCTCGGTCTTTCTTCCCAGCTATAGTTCAGTAGCCAAGCTACTCTGCTTTTTCCTTTTTAAAAGCTCCATCTTAATCACAGCATATTTGGAGTATAGAGTGGGTAGAAAAATTCCATTTTCTTTTTCCATTTTCCTACTTAACTTTTTGAAACTTGTACCACAGAAAAATTTTGAGAATTATCTAATGAATATCTTTGCCTTCAAACTTAATAAATGACACCTTATAGAGACAGGTAAGGTTCCTGTGTGATCCTGTCCAAGAAAAGCCCTGAAATGTCCTCCTCATTCCCTCCATTCCCATGTGGCTTTTGGGCATTCATTGCATATGGTACTATTTGAAGACAACAATTACTTTTGCTTTACTTTTAAAAACCATGCTATAAATTGGATTATTTTTCTTGTGTATGCTATAATTTTCAGCAAGGGAAGTTTTTTTCATTTGAGAGAAATAAAAACAGTTTACTAGAGCATTTAAAGAAAGTTTTGGTGATTCTTAATTACTAGCAACAGATAAAATTTGTATAAAATTACATTTCCTTAATTTTGTTTGCTTATTCATGATTGTCCACATGGTTCCTATTCTTCATTTTTTAAACGTGTTTATCGTGTTAAATTTTAAACCAACTTTAATCTAAAAAGCATTTTTTTCAAGGGCCCATGCCTTGTTTTTTCTTCATCTCCAGAGCTAATTAAAAGAAAAGAAAACAAAAATAGATGTGATAATCTGTGCCTTCAGAATTCTGTAATATTAAGATGTCATTTCTGTTTCAAATTGCTGGAGCCTGTGCTCACAGGTTACCTTGCTAGATGGAAAGATCATGTTCACTGAGACAGTGAATATAATCCTATCAGTGTGGTGACAGTAACATGTTTAATTCAGTATATATATATTATAATCAGTTGCAGAGTTGTTTTGACACATGTCTACTCTGTGTTTGTTGGAGTTGAGTTGGTGTACTGCGAAGAGTTTTCATTAGCTGTTTTTTTCCTGAAGTACATCATCAGGGTTTTCTTTTGAGACACTTTTGGGTAGATGCAACCTCCAGCTTTTTCACTAGCAACTTAGTGTATTAACTGCTTCACCAACTAGGAACTCTATAATAAATGGATGTACGTTGCTGTTAGGTGCTGTTGAGTTGGTTTGACTCACAGAAATCCTGTGTATAACAGAACAAAATATTGCCCAGACACTCACCATCACCACAGTCTTTTTTTTTTAAGTTTTATTGGCACCTCATCCATATATCATACAATTCAGTAGTTAAACCATATCAAGAAGAGTTGTATAATCTTTACCACAATCAATTTTAGAACATTTTATTTTTCTCCATATTCATTGTTATTCATGTATTTTTTTCAAGTTTGGCAAAAATACAATAAATAATTCACCAATTCAATAGCGTCATATGTATAGTGCTATTGATTGTACAACCATTATTATTATCCCTCTCCAGTCTTTTTTTTTTTTTAAACTGTTTGAGCCTGTTGTTGTAGCTGCTAAGTTGAGGGCCCTCTATTTTTTCTCTCAGCATGATATTCTTATGAGATTAAGTCTTGCCACCCTTGTATCTTTAGAGATCCTGTACAAGTGAAAAGGCTTCAAAAAGTTGTTGGAAAAAGCTACATTATCTTTTAATTTTATTTTCCCATAAACTTTTTTTCCTCTTAAATTCCTCAATTTATTGGGAGTTCTTACAGATGTCATAGCATTCTATAATTCTAATAGTTCAAGCATAATTGTACAATTGCTACTACAATCAGTTTCAAAACATTCTTCTTAAGTTCTTTGATATTGACTTCCCTTTTCCCTTTCCTTCCCTACCCTCCTCCCCAGGAACCCTTGTTGTTAATGTCACATGTTATTATTATTAATATTTGTTTAGGTATATGTATGTGTTTATATATATATATATATATATAAATAATTTTTTTTCACCCAGAATTCTGTTATTCACTCCCCTTGAGTGGAGTTAGTGTCTGTGAGGTGAATGATGGTAAGCATAATAGTAGGGCAGGAGAAAAGAAAAAAGAGGAAAGAGGAGGAAA